GTTTTTGTGCAAAGTGTGTTTGAAAGACGTTTGGCCCTTTTTCCCCCCCCCCCAGATGGGCATGATGGGTAATCCAGGCCCCTATGGCAGCCCTTACGGTCAGCCGGCGGGCCAAGGTCTCGGTGGCACCGGACTGGGCCCGCAGCTCCAGAACAAGACCGGTTTGCCCAGCAACCTGGGCCAGTTTAACCTGGATAAGAAGACTCCGCCGATGCAGGGCATGGCTGGCATGGTGAGTGTCTGTCGGCCTGTGGGAGGAGCTCCTCGGCCATGTTTGGGGCTGCTCTGAGTGGAAACTTACCCCCCCCCTCTTTAATATCTGTCCAGGCCTCCCAGCAGCCGCCAGCAGGGGTGGCAGGACCCGTAGCAGGAACGGCGGCAGCAGCCGGCATGATGTCCGGCGCACCGGGTGGCCTCGGTACCGTGGCGACGCCCCCTGGCCCTGCGGGGGCCCCGCCGCCCCCCACGGCCGACCCGGAGAAGCGCAAACTGATCCAGCAGCAGCTGGTTCTCCTGCTGCACGCCCACAAGTGCCAGCGGCGTGAGCAGGCCAACGGGGAGGTGCGGCCGTGCTCCCTGCCCCACTGCCGCACCATGAAGAACGTGCTGAACCACATGACCCACTGCCAGGCCGGCAAGTCCTGCCAGGGTGAGTGCGGGGGGAGAGTGAGCCCTCTACGCCTAGCTCTGGTCCTCAGCTTTGATCTTTGTTACGTACAGCTTTCATGCCACAAGCTCTTGTAGCTCAACAAGTAGAGCATTGTGCTAACATTGCACAGGTTGTGGGTTCGAATCCCAAGGACCACATAAAATTGTAACCTGTCCTTCTGCTGTCGGTCACTTAATGGCCAGATAAATGAGTAAATGTCTCCTTTGTTTATCCTTGCGTGAAGTTTAACACGCACGATTAAATTTGCCCTCTTATTTACGATATCCCCGGCGAGGCCTGTCTGAGTCGCCGTTAACCGGTCTCTCTGTCCGAACCCACAGTAGCGCACTGCGCCTCGTCAAGACAGATCATCTCGCACTGGAAGAACTGCACGCGTCACGACTGCCCAGTTTGCCTGCCGCTGAAGAACGCCGGGGACAAGAGGAACCAGCAGAGTGAGTCTGCCACCCCCCCCCTGCCTGCGGGAGAGGGAGAGGGAGAGAGGAAGGGGGAGGGGCCTGTGCACTTGGCTGTCTGACGCTGAAATATAGATGAAAACAAATAAATACTTCAGTGGTTTTTGACATCACACCCTTTTTTGGGTCTCGGGTGACGCGGCCCATGGTACGCATGAGGCCACCTGAAATGGGAGGGCCACGTGGGAGGTGCCGCTTCCGTGTCGCGGCTAAAGCTGCGCGGTAATTACAGCCGGGCCATTAAATGCCTCTCCTCGGGGTGGGCGTGGCCTAAACTGACAGCCTGCCTCTGATCCGCGCAGCGCTGCTGGGCTCCGCTGGAGTGGGCTTGGGAAGCGCCCTGGGGACCGTGCCAGGAGGCCAGCCTAGCTCACCCAGCCTGAACCCGCCCAGCCAGATCGACCCCAGCTCCATAGAGAGGGCTTATGCCGCCTTGGGCCTCACCTACCAGGGTGCCCAGATGCCCGCTCAGGCTCCCCAGACACAGCTGCCCGCTCAGGGCCTGCAGGGGCAGCCGGGGATGCGACCCCTGGGGAGTATGGGTGAGTAAGCGGTTTCCGGCAGGGAGCCCTGGGGATGGGAGGGGCTGTAATGCCAAGCTCAGAAGGGGGGGGCTGGATTTTTATTTAATTTCTTCTCGCTCCCCCCCAGCAGGAGGGAGCCCCATGGGTGTCAATGGAGGCGTCGGGGTCCAGTCGGCCAATCAGCAGTCCAGCCTGCTGCAGGACTCCATGCTGCACGGTGGCATGAACGCGCAGAGGTGCGTCACGGAAAGTCTCCCTCCGTCCAGGCACGCCCCCCCCCCCCCAATTTGATGTTAATCCCCTGATGTTAACTATAATTATTCATGCCAATTATTCCCCCGTCCCTTTACTACGCCCCCCCCCCCCTCAGTCTAATGAACGACACTGCCGGGGTGGGTGTCTTGGGCTCCATGCCCACAGCGGCTCCCCCGTCCGCGTCGGGCATGAGGAAGAACTGGCATGAGGACATCACGCAGGACCTGCGCAACCACCTGGTGCACAAACTGTAAGTCCCTCGCTCTTGCCCCGTCGCCGTGGCGACGCCGGCGGTCGTGACCTTAAAAACGGTGCTCGCAGTGAACTTGTCTCTTCAGGAAGTAGCATTTTTATAGGGACAGCAGTAGATCAACAGACGTGCAGTGGGGCTGTGACCCTCAGCCACCCTCCCACCAGAGTTATTGTTGTTAGCTTGGACTAAGAAAACAAATACCTAATAGCTAAAAAAAAAAAATATGAAAATAAACTATAACTCAATGAAAACTATTAATATTGCTTCTGAAGCTAACAAATAAAAACAAACGTCATATACTTTCCATTACTGTTTTTAAATGTTATTAGCTAAATAGATTTTTTTTTTATCCTTAATGATCATTAATAATACTTGGAACATGTTTTCTTCATTTTGAGGATATTGGTACATAATGTGTACTGTATATTCATGTAAGGTTCTCTAAATATCAGACACATAAAATGCTCTACAATTTTCAGTCTGCCCTTAGAAATAAATTTACTAAAACATCAACTGAAAATAAAATATAAAAACTAATATAGGCACACTGAAAATGAATTAAAACTACAATTGATTTCAAATGAAAATTGAAAATAGTATTAACATTTTTTTCCACAGTGCGTTTTAACAATATTGCGTTGTCTCAAAGTGCTTTACATTATCCTCGCCCTAAGCCCGAAGAGAGCTAGCCGGAGGGACAGTGGTTAGGAATAACTCCCCAGTAGTAAGAAACCACACATAACTCCCCAGTAGTAAGAAACCACAGTCAAAAGGGGCGCTCATCCTCCAGGGGCCGGCAAAGCAAGTTCAAAACAGCAAAGTCCAGGTTCAGAAAATAAAATTGTTTATAGTGCAGGTATAAATGGGGAAGGTCCAGCTGATGTGGGGAATGGTAGGTGAGGGAGCTGCTTTCTTCGGCGGAATAGAGGGGTAAAAATCCTGATCTAGCACCGCTGCCCCTCACGCATACTCTGCATGTTGACAGCATTCCCACCGTGTCACATGATTCACTCCATCCACCCACCCACCCATCCATCTGTTTCTCCCCTGAGCAGGGTGCAGGCCATCTTCCCCACGCCCGACCCAGCTGCCCTCAAGGACCGGCGGATGGAGAACCTGGTGGCCTACGCCCGCAAGGTGGAGGGTGACATGTACGAGTCGGCCAACAGCAGGGTGCGTACCCCTCCTCCACCCGTCCTCTCACGCCGGCGGCACCGACTTGTAACAGCGTCTCTCTGCTTACCCCTCACAGGCTGAGTACTACCATCTCCTGGCGGAGAAGATCTACAAGATCCAGAAGGAGCTGGAAGAGAAGCGGCGAACCCGGCTGCAGAAGCAAGGCATGTTGCCCACGCAGCCTGGCATGCCGCCTTCCGGCCTGGGCCAGGGTCCCCCCGGAATGGGGCATCCCCCTATGCCTCCCGGACAGCCGCCCAGTGAGTTCACTCGCTCATTACTGTGCCATGGGGTTATTGGATTTCAGCGTCATCCAGTCTCAGCTCTGACTTTGTGTCATATTCTCAATGGGTGAGTCGTTTTCAATGGCAGATGCCAGGAGAATGTTACCTGCCTGACTGCATTATGCCAACTGTAAAGTTTGGTGGAGGAGGGATAATGGTATGGGGTTGTTTTTCAGGGGTTGGGCTAGACCCCTTAGTTCCAGGGAAGGGAACTCTTAATGCTTCAGCATACCAAGACATTTTGGACAATTCTATGCTTCCAACCTTGTGGGAACAGTGAGGAAAGCCCTTTTCTGTTCCAGCATGACTGTGGTCCATATTTGGTAAAAGTATGTTTGGTGTGGAAGAACTTGACTGGCCTGCACAGATCCCTGACCTCAACCCCATCGAGCACCTTTGGGATGAACTAGAATGGAGATTGTGAGCCAGGTCTTCACATCCAACATCAGTGCCTGACCCCACAAATGCTCTTCTGGATGAATGGGCAAATATTCCCACAGATACACTCCAAAATCTTGTGGAAAGCCTTTACAGAAGAGTGGCAGCTGTTATAGCTGCAAAGGGGGGACCAGCTCCATACTGATGCCTATGGATTTAGAATGTCATGTCATAAAAGTTCTTGTGGGTATAATGGCCAGGTGTCCCAGTACTTTTGTCCATATAGTGAAGCCCTTAGGTACACGAGTCACATGGAATGGAGAGTAATAATGACCATGAAATGGGTGCAGGTCCATGTAGAGCGGGGGTGGTGAACCTGATCCATGGAGGGCCGGCTGTTATTGGCCTCTCAATCAGCCAATAACAGCGGGTCCCCGGGACTGTAGCTGGGAACCACTGCTTTATTATTGGCTGATGGAGAGGTCATCCCACAAACCGGCATGGGACAGGTTCCCCACCCCTGATGTAGAGGGTTCTCTTACAATGGCAGCGGTATGAGCAGCCACACTGCGGATATCCATCCTGACTGAGTTGTCTCTTTTGCAGACGGACCTCATTCTGATCCCTCTCTTGTCCGGCCCCCGGTGCCCAACCAGATGAACCGGATGCAGAACCCTTCAGGTGGGCACCCCCCCCCCTCTCAGGCCGAGATGCTCGTATTCACTCTCTCTCGTTTTACCTTAAGTCTGACATCCCTCTGGGATGCTTAGCCGATGAGCTCAGCTCCTTTGGGCAAAACAGCCTGACGCTTCCTAAGAGCCTGAGTGTGCGCACTCCTGCCCTCACACTAAACCATTTCCTCTCATCAGGTATGGGCCAGTTCAGTCAGATGGGAATGCAGTCCATGGGCCAGAGGTCCACGCCGCCCCTGCAGATGGGCGTCCCCGTTGGCCAGGTCTGTGCTCCATCCCTGAGCAGTCGACCGCGAGGCAGAGAGCAGTAATGGCTGCACCATTCTCGGATCGGTTTTGTGTTTAACTCGAGTGTCTCTCATTTAGGTGGGTATGGGAACCCCAAGAATGGGCCAGCCAAATGTGAACCAGCTCCAGAACCAGTACCTGCCCCCCAATCAGTGTCCCGGATCAGGACCTGGGCTCGGGCCCGGCTCAGTTGGCATGGCACAGGTTCGAAGCTGCGCCCCCCCCCCCATATGAAACGCAGATGTGCTGTTACTTGAGCCATTTTATTTGGGGCATTTATTATCGCTAATTTATTTACCTTGTACCTCCCCCCACCCAGCAGTCTCAGATGGCCACACCCCCACCGCTTCCTGTAAGCAGTCCACTCCCCCAGACAGGACCAGTGGGGGGTGGGGCCCTCGTGGGGCCCATGGGACCTGGCGGCCTTGGTGGAGGCCCTCCCCCCGGCCTGCCTCCCCCCTCAGCCCAAGCCAGCAGCTCTCACCCGCACTGCCCCCCCCAGCTGCGGCAGAACTCGCCGTCCCCTGCCCGTAGCCTAACTCCCACCCCCCACCACACTCCGCCGGCGCTGGCGAGCTCCCAGACGCCCCAGCCGCAGTTGGCTCAGGCCATGGGCCCAGGGATGGGCTCGGACAAACCCGCTCAATCGCTGCAGCAGCAGCAGCAGCAGCAGCAGCAGCAGCAGATGGCAGGAGGTGCCCCCGGTGTGCCCCAGCCGGGGCTGACTTCTTCAGTGTCCACCCCGACTGCCCCCCTGCCGCCCCAAATGCCACGCACTCCGGTGAGTCTGTCTACCTGCTGCGTCCCCTAAACCACTCCCCACCTTCCACAAACCAGGAGTCAGATTTATGCCTCATTTCATTCACGACAACTTATAATAAAAATAGAGTAGAAGATGAAAAATATACCAGTCGTATGTACTAAAAAACTCGTATTAAATAAATGTAAAGTGCAAATTTACATACCGACTTGCGTCGCCTTTTTGCGTTACACAAAGTTTACAGAAATGCTATCAGATATTTTTTGTCCCGATTTAAGTCAGTTTTACGTCCGTCGAGAGCTGTGTCGACTTGGGCTTTTCTCATTTGTCCCTCGTGCCCTAACCTGCCTCTCCGCTCCTCCAGCTGTCCCAAAGATCATCCCTGACTGCGGACGGCCAGGTCTCCACGCCTGCATCTGTTAGTAGCGCCGACGCCGGCTCTCAGCACGCCCCGCCTGACCCCAAGATGGAGATCAAGCAGAACGACGAGGAGGATGAGGACGAGGCCTCGGACGGGAAATCCTCGGGGAAGATGGCCGCGATGCACGCCGACATGAAGGCCGAGGAGAAGCTTGATGTGAGAGAGCGAGTGTGCAAGAGGGGGCGCTCTAGCGGGAAGGCCGGCGTGGCTGCCATACGTCAATAGTCTTACTAGGCTGGGTCACCTTGCCACTACCTCTCAGCTGATCTGATGCTTTGATCAGTTATGAAGGAATTTTAAATTGAATTCATGTTTACCACCAAGGAACAGTTGTGAGATGAGCAGGACTACTTTGTAGCACATGGAGTATTGAATAGATAGATCTACGAAGAGGTGCTACTGATCCTCTTTGCTTGAGTTGAGCTGAACAGCACTGATGATGTTTGTCTGTTCTTCTCCTCCGTGTCTTTAATTCCATCTCCCTTCAGCTTAAAAAGGAAGAAGCGGCAGGTGATCGGTGCAAAGTGGAGCCCATGGAGACTGTGCTGGGGCCGGGACTTGAGGACAGGAAGCCAGATGTGAAAGTGGAGCCTAAAGAGGAAGAGGAGGGGTCAGGTTCGGCCGGCCCTCTGAGCTCTCCGTCTAGCGCTCAGAGCAAGAGAAAAAGTAAGGCTGCCACGCCCACTGGGCCTGGTCTGTATTCGTATACCGTGTGATGCGATGCCTGCACTTTGCCTCTGTGGTGTCGGTGCATGGAAGCCGTCAGCCGCTTGAAGTGCGACGGCAGAATTAGCTGGAGGTTTGGTTTGTCTGTCACCTTTCTAGCGTAGCTTCCTGTGAGCCCTGTGGCAGCCCGTGTTTGCCGGGTTGTCTGTGGTTTGACCCCGTGTGAGTCTGTGCCCGAAGCGCTGACCTCGCCCTCTCCTCCATGCCAGTCTTCAAGCCAGAGGAACTGCGCCAGGCTCTCATGCCCACCCTGGAGGCGCTGTACCGGCAGGATCCTGAGTCGCTGCCCTTCCGACAGCCGGTGGACCCCCAGTTACTGGGAATACCCGTACGTATTCGAACTAGTAACCGAACTAACCTGGTAAGGGACTGCGCTGGCTTCCATTTTTGCCTCCACTTAGATGCCCCCCTTTCCCCCCCCCCCCCCTCCTGTAGTTCTTTTCTCATCACGCCTGCTTTTCCTCCTGGCCCTGGCTGTCCTCTCCTTTTCATGACCGTTAGTGAGTGTGTGTAAGTGTGTGTGTGTGTGTGAGTGTGAGTGGACCTCTGATACCGTGTGGGGGTGTGTGTGTGTGGGTTAGTGTTATATTACATTGTGGGGACCAAACATCCCCCGCAGTGTAGTAAAAACCTGTTGTTTTGACGTTGTGGGGACTGTTTCTCAGCTTCCCACTAAGATCTGTGAATTCAATCCAAAAAGTAAAAATGCCAAAAGTCTTGTATTTTGTCTGGTTACTTATGGTTAAGGTTAGGGCTGGGTGGGGGTTAAGGGTGTCATGTTGTGATTTGAGTTCTCCATAGAAATGAATGGAGAGTCCCCACAAAGATATAATTACATGACCATAAACCTGTGTGTGTGTGTGTGTGTTTACACGTCCACGGCATGGGAGGCCGTCTCCCCACCTCCCTGGCGCTCTGCTGGCGTGAGGGAATCCAAAGTGTCTGTATGTCTGTCTCTGTGAGCTCATGCTTGCTTCTCTCCGGCTCCCTTCATTTTATCTTCTGCCTAAAATTCTTCAAATGAAATGAAGCAACACCAGAAACGTTCCGAAGTCTGAAAGAAAATCACTTCAGTTATTGAACTCGTTGGGGGGTGGGGAGGCAGAGGGAGGGCAGAAGCTCATTAATCGGCATGAAATCGATCAGTGTAGCCGGCCATGCCGTTTTGGGGACGCCTCCCTTAAAAACGAGCTCCCCGTCTGTCTGCTGCCTGTCTAAAGCTTCTAGTTGCCTGGATACGCAGAGCCCCCCCCCCCTTTCCGGGAGACGCCACCTGCCGTTTCCCGGGGGTCAGCTTGGCACGCCGACCTCTGTACCCTCCCTCTCATGCCCTGCTCTGTCAGACAGACGGAGCAGTAATTGGGCCCCAGCGAGTTGGGGAGGGTCTGGTTCAGGGCTTGCAGGTTCGAGGGCGCGGGGTGGGCGTGCCTGTTTACGCCCCGCAGACAGTTCCAGGGGCATTTTGACGTTTTTCTCCTCTTGCTTCATTTCGATTTGAACTATTTCCATTCGCCGCACGCATCGAAGCAGCTTTGATGCTTTGAAGCGTTGAGATTCTGATGATGAGTTTCGGGGGCTAGTGGAGCATCTCCGCGGCCCCCAGCTCTGTGCCGGACGTGGTTGGGCCTGGGGTCAAATGGGGGAGTGTGCTTCAGCCGAACAAATGTGCAGGACCACCTTTCGCACACTCGCTGCCGTCAGAAGCCTGTTCTGACTCGTCCGCGACATACTGACCTTGTTCTGGATGCCAGCTCGTGCAGTAACGGTACCTGTCAGGATGCTAGGCGCGGTGAATGCTCCTCCTTCGTGCACTTTGACCCATATGCAGGTGACGCAGGCCGCAAACGGCTCTGATGTGTGAGAGAGGTGGTCTAGGGTAGGGGGTGACTCGGCTCGCGTTCGGCGCCACATTGATGCGATTCGTCCCCAAAATGTGAATCTTAATGGTTCCCCACTTGTCTGTACTGCTACCTGCAGGCAGACATACTGTTATTTTAAAAAGTTTTTTCCCCCCAGTATTTATTTGTACTGGCATGGGGTCACACTTCTCCGTATGGTCCAGCTTGCAGTGCCGGTCGTCCCAGTGTCGTGTTCCTGCCAGTATTAGCCTGTCCTCACTGTACAGCTCACTGCGGATACCCCCCTCTGCAATTCACATGGATATGTCATGTATATGTACTCTGTGCTATTGAACGATTAGCGGGAACATTCCCGTAACTTCACGGCTGTTACGTTAGCATAACGTGCAGGAACACGTGCGCTAGGGCAGCCAGGCTGGATGCTGGATGCTGGCTGCTTGCCCGTTGGTTCCCATGACGACCCTTCCACCGAAGGCATCTCTATGGCTTGTTTCTGCTCGCTCCTGGGCGCTTGGCTTTTAAACGTGCTGCCCGTTTTGCTGCCCGTTGCCTGGCGCTGTCAGCGTGCGTTACCATGTCCGCTGATTTTTCTCCGCCTCGCCTCAACTTTGCACTCGGTCAGTAGTAATGAAGTGGGAGGGGACTGATGGCCTGTTTAATGGTCACGGAGCGAAAATGTGTCTACTGGTCCTGAGCGATGCCCTCAGGCGGCTTCGCAGCAAGACCTGGGGCTTTAAGGTAATACCCCTAATTCGAAACTCAGCTGGATAAAAAGGTGCAAAGTTCAGACAAGGACGGAGAACGTTTTTTCTGTGTGCGTGTGAAGCTCCTGGTGGTTCTTATTGCTGATGATCGTTCTCTTCCTCTTCTCAATGTTCTACTTCGACGATGACAATGATGACAACACTGACCTCTGCCGCCAACTTCCTCCTTCATTCTACCGTGGGCCAAACCCACGATGCCTCAAACTCCTTCCACCCCACCCCCTCCCTCTTTCCGAACCATCCTGGGGAAATCCCAGGACTACTTTGACATTGTGAAGAACCCAATGGACCTGTCCACCATTAAGCGTAAGCTGGACACGGGTCAGTACCAGGAGCCCTGGCAGTACGTGGACGACATCTGGCTCATGTTCAACAACGCCTGGCTCTACAACCGCAAGACCTCGCGCGTCTACAAGTACTGCTCCAAGCTGGCTGAGGTCTTCGAGCAAGAGATCGACCCGGTCATGCAGAGTCTGGGCTACTGCTGTGGCAGGAAGGTACGTGTCAGAGAGAGAGAGGGCGTCAATATCGACGTGTCAAAGCACGTTGTACGATTGGCTGTTCTTCGCCAGCTGTTCGGCAACTTGGCCATTAACACCGCCCCTTTTTTTTTTTTTGCCTGTTGCCGTGGCGCAGCTGGAGTTCTCCCCCCAGACCCTGTGTTGCTACGGCAAACAGCTGTGCACCATTCCCCGTGATGCTGCGTACTTCAGCTACCAGAACAGGTGAGGCCCTGCCGGGCACTCCCGCGGAATACTACCCCTGGCCGGTGTGGGCGGTGGCCAGCGTGGGCGGTGCCCCCCGTCCGCAGTGTAGATTCCGTATGGAATTCGAGAGCGGAGGTGGCCATCTTATGACTTAATGGCCGGTGTTTCAGCCTGCATGCGGCGCACACGCGTCAGCGGTCCCGTGTACAGGCCTGCATGTGGCGCACACGCGTCAGCGGTCCCGTGTACAGGCCTGCATGCGGCGCACACGCCGATGTGTATGTGTCACTTTGGCCACCCCATGTTGGTCTGAATGGGGAGTTTTATCTCATTGCTTATGAACAGCATGGCATTTATAAAGGGGCTCCTTTTTGCTAAACTGTAACGGTTTGCTGGTATAATTGGCTTTGAATGTTGGGTTGTGCCTCTCGGGGGATTTGCGCTCGCCTCACCGACATGATGTCCGGGGGCAGTGGGGGTGTCCCAGCGTAGCTCGCCGGTGCCAGTGACTTGCCTGAGCAGGTCCAAATGGGGCTCTTCTGTCCCTCAGCGCTTTTTATTTTTAAACTGCCATGTGCCAAAAAGGGCCCTCTTTGAAATGAGCTGACAAGTCGATGTAAATCCTTTGTTAATGTGTCCCTCATTTGTGCATAATGACCCCCCCCCCTCCCCACCTCCTGTTACTACCTAGCTGTGCTGTTTTTGCCCATTGACTTGTCTGGAAGCTAATATGCGCTTTGCTTGGCTTTTCTGCTCTCTGTTTATCTTGGATGTTATCGTGTCCTCCTCCCTCCCCTGCCATCCCATCCACTTTGTCCTCGTCTTGTCTGTAACGTTTTATTTTTCACTTATTTTAATACTCATTGTACCCTTCTCCCGACTCCCCCTCTCCCTTTCTCTCTTTTTTTAACGCTTGTGATGTCTGCATTGGCCTGCTTTGCTGTGACCAATCATCCACTCCGAAATTTTACACACACACAAAACAAATCCTGCATCATGATTGGCTGCCCCGACGATGATCGACCCTGCCCTCTGCTCCTCCCGTGTGCCCGCTCCCCTTGGCCTGCCCTGCCCTGATTGGTGGCTGCTCCTTGGTGCCCTCTCTGTGATTGGCTGTACTGTGGCGAACGGTATAGTTCACCAAAATATGGGCTTCTTGCTGACAGGTACCACTTCTGTGAGAAGTGTTTCAACGAAATCCAGGGCGAGAGCGTGTCCCTGGGGGACGACCCCTCTCAGCCACAGACGTGAGTATCTACAGCTCCATCTCTCATCTCCATCTCGTCTCCTGGCATGATTCTGCAGGATGTTTTTGACCGTTCAGTACTGCTGGAGTGATTCTTCAGGATGTAGAAAGCTGTTTTAGTGTTTCTGTACAATGGCTGTTCTCACACTGACAACTTTTTCTCTCCCCTTTATCCTCCGTTTTCTCTTTCTCTGTTGCTCTCCCACTTCTTCCCTTCCATTTTTTTTTCTTCCTATGTTTCTGCTTCCTTCAGTTGGTCTCTTGCTTTAATCTGCCCAGTATTCTGCTTTTTAACTGGAAGGCCATTCTAAACCTCCGGACTCCTGTGTGCCCAGTTGTGTGAATAATAGGGCAGACTGTTTGAAAGTAACTGGATTTGTTTAAATGTATAAATGCTATTGTATTGAATCTTAGTTCTTGAAAGGAGAGTTTGGCTGTCAGAGGTAGTCTAATGTAGCTTAGCATCCCTTGGAAATCCCAGTTAGATTGCTACCAGTAAATTAGCCCCAAGGCCACCATGAGACCCAGTGTGAAGTGAGCCCATGACCGGTGCTGACGGCCCACTTGGGGGCGCTCTCCCTCTCGTTTTCAGATCCATCAACAAAGAGCAGTTTGAGAGGAAGAAGAACGACACGCTGGACCCTGAGCTGTAAGCGCTCTTCCGGCTGCCCTAAAGGGAGTCTCCCATTAAAGTGTAACTTTGCACTGTCTAAAGGCCTGTCAGTGGCTCGATTGCAGGGTCCCCACCTCCAAGGTGGGCGGCTTCTCCGTGCTTCTGGACTCACTCCGGGCTCGTCTCTTCACAGGCTTGTTGAGTGCATCGACTGCGGTCGCAAAATGCACCAGATCTGCGTCCTTCATAACGAGACCATTTGGCCAACGGGGTGAGCTGGTATTTGCTTGTAGATCCCCCAAGCCCCCCCTTTCTGGTGTCCTTTTTCTTCTTTCTGCCATTACACTCAAGGCCTGCCCACCTCTTGCCCCCCCCCACAGCTTCGTGTGTGATAGATGCCTGAAGAAGTCCAATAAAACACGCAAGGAGAACAAGTATGCAGCTAAAAGTGAGTGATGGGCCGTCCTGGTAGCTTTTTACTCCGTTCACTTGGTTACTTAAATACTTAAACCCCACTTGAAGACACATGATTGCAGATGTCTGCCTTGTTTGCTGGGGCATGTTACTCTTTGATTTGACCTCCTTCACCATACTGAAGCTCCTGCTGAAGAACTGCGTCTGTAGGGTGCATGTTGGGTTGTGAAACTGTTGGTTGAGTTCTTGAGTTTTATTTAAGATGTACAGCACTGTGCAAAAAGTCTTAGGCAGCCAAATAAAATCTCTAAATGATCTTCATGTTGGTGTAAAACCGATATTATTATGCCTGTCAAAGTGTGCTAGCTTAGCCAATTCAGAACTTCTGCTAAAATCACCTCAGAATGTGCAGCACTCGACCACTAGCATAGCTCGTCTGGCTGGTCAATATCTCTTTGACTTTTACTTAATTAAATTAGTCAGTTGGGGGAGAAAGTTGACATACAAGGAATGGTTGAGGTCCCCAGGTTTGAGAACTGAAGCGGTGTTCATCTAGCCATCCAGAGAGATATCAGTAACTTTTTGGAAAACACAAGAAATAGTTTTGGTTACTCCTAAGTTGCAAGTTCTAATGCTCTCTTTTTTTTTAGCTTTAAACATTTCTTTTGACTGCCTAAGACTTTAGCAGAGTGTTTGTATATTGACCTCAGGATGTAGCCCTGACCTCTCTTGCCTCCCCCCCCCCATCCACTTTCCCCTTCCATTCTGGCCACATCAGGGCTGCCACATACGAAGCTCGGAAACTTCCTGGAAACGCGTGTCAACGAGTACCTCAGGAGGCAGAACCATCCGGAATCAGGCGAGGTCACCATCCGCGTGGTCCACGTGTCCGACAAGGTGGTGGAAGTCAAACCGGGCATGAAGGCCAGGTGGGAACAGAGTCTCTCTAACCTCTTTTTCTTGTCGAGGGAGTGGCACGACGCACGTTCTTGACTTCATATCGTTGGCATGGTTCCCCCATGTAGGTTCGTGGACAGTGGCGAGATGGCAGAGTCATTCCCTTACAGAACCAAGGCGCTGTTTGCCTTTGAGGACATCGACGGCGCCGACGTCTGCTTCTTCGGCATGCACGTGCAGGAGTACGGGTCCGACTGCCCGCCGCCCAACCAGAGGTCAGGAGAAATGCACTCGCTGTCGCATCTGTTTTTGTCACCCCTGCGTTTCGCTGGGGCAGCTCAGTACCTTACTTTTAAAGCTTGCTCACTTCAGTCGCGTTTTCCCCATGGACTCCAACCTTCTCTCCCTCAGGCGCGTGTACATCTCCTACCTGGACAGTGTACACTTCTTCCAGCCACGACACCTACGCACAGGCGTCTACCACGAGATCCTCATCGGGTACCTGGAGTACGTCAAGAAGCTGGGGTACGATATCCTCACTGCTCCCCTTGTTGCCATGGTACCTTGCACTGTGGATTTCACTGGTTGCCGTCATACATGATTGAGGCATCCTGCTGTGATGTCATTGCTCGAATGATGGTGGTTTGGGTCTTAATCCACCTCCTCCTTCCAACTCTGTCCCAGGTTCACAACTGGGCACATCTGGGCCTGTCCTCCCAGTGAGGGGGATGATTACATCTTCCACTGCCACCCAATGGACCAGAAGATCCCCAAGCCTAAGCGTCTGCAGGAGTGGTACAAGAAGATGCTGGACAAGGCCGTGTCTGAGCGCATCGTGCATGACTACAAGGTGCGCTGGGCCAGAGCAACTTCTGGTTTTTATCCTGAGCGGGTAGCAGGATGTGAAGGGTGTCATTCATCGACCCACCTCAAGTTTAGTGTTCTTGGTCGTACTACCTGCCCTGTTGCTATGTGTGCTGTTTATCTTGATGGTCAGTGTTAATGAGATGTTCCTTTTGCGCATCCTTAGGACATCTTCAAGCAAGCCACAGAAGATCGTTTAACCAGTGCCAAGGAGCTGCCCTACTTTGAGGGTGACTTCTGGCCTAACGTGCTGGAGGAGAGCATCAAGGAGCTGGAGCAGGAAGAGGAGGAGCGGAAGAGGGAGGAAAACAGCACCTCCAGCGAGAGCATCGATGTGAGTCTCACGGGTGTTCGTCCCAAGAGGGGGCTCCACTGTACCAAGTCTTCCCCTCCTAGTTGGAGAACTGGCCAATTAAGCAAATTTTTTATTGATGGAAGCTGGCAAAGGCGGTTTCAGTGCTCTAGTTAAACAGGCCCCTAATGAGCCTGGTTCCAAGGCATATTTGTAATATTTTGCATCTTGGAAATTGCTTATTAGCTTCTTGTAGGTGTCAGGTGACTGTGCCAACGTTGTCTCCATGCCTCCCCCCACCACTGCAGGCTACCAAGGGCGACAGCAAAAACGCCAAGAAAAAGAACAGTAAGAAGACGAGCAAGAACAAGAGCAGCCTGAGCCGAGCCAACAAGAAGAAGCCGGGGATGCCCAACGTGTCCAACGACCTGTCGCAGAAGCTCTACGCCACCATGGAGAAGCACAAGGAGGTATGCGAGTGTTCCGGCTGTCTGTCTCATCAGCAGGGAATGAATGGATGAATGACATTAAAAATTAACTTAGATCTAGGTATAGTTATTGGGTTATTCCTTGGAAGATGAAATCTATATCCACAAAAAAGGAGCAACATCCTTTGAAAACTGTATAATTGTATCGATATTTTAACTCCTGTGAATCAGTCTTCAAAATGACCAGCATCCTTGACCTTATCAGTCCATACACTCCGGCGGCACTCGTTGGCATGATGATAATTTGCCAGGCGTCTTCAGTAACCCAGTGTTGTGAAGAATAGATGCGTTTTCCTGAGTAAATAACACTCCTGCACAGTCTGAAATGTGCACTCCGTGCTTCCTCATGAGGGGCTTGATCCCCGAAACCCTCCTTCCCGTCAGCGCTGTACATGCTGCCTTTTGCTTTGACGGGAGCAGACTTCCATTCCGGATGGCTTTGGTGGCTCGATTTCCTGCTCTCTAACTGCCTGAGACTTATTTGCATACATGCCAGCGTATAATTTTATTTATTTGTTGGCAGCATCTTCCTGACAATTGAGAAACGCATAATTCTTCACTGTGGAATAGACGCTGTTCTCATTGCTTACTCATCAGCTCTTAATTCTCCATAAGACATGTTTCCTGTCTCTGCTCCAGGAGTTTTTTTTCATCTCTCCTGCTTAACATCTCTGAGAAGTTGGCAAACTCTTTCAGCTTGTGTCCATGTTAAATGGCTGAATGATCCTAATTAAAATGTCCCTTAGGTCAGAATCCTGAGTGACTGTGTCCCACAAACCACAGGGTTGTGTTCAGAGGAATTTCATCCCGAGAAATATCGATTGTGGGAGTTGAACTGTGTTTGTGTTTCACATGATTACTAGCCAGCATCTACCAGCCGCTGGAGCTAGATAAGTGGAGCAATTTACCCTCTAGCGCTGAAGCTGACCTGTGTATGGCAGACGGGCTTATTTTGAACCTTATATGAGTGACAGACAAAGCCATCTATTCGGTGGTCTTGTGGCATCTTGTCTGCGGGACCATGGTGGACTTGAGGGGTTTAATGAATCTGCAGGCAATGGGGAGGGACAGCGAATGGCTTCTTAACATCATTCTGTTTTTAAAATGCCACACTTGTCTTTGCAAACAAGCTTGACAAGTCATTTCAAAGGTATAGCAGGTGTAAGTGCTCATTAGGGCAAAAAAGGGGAGGATGGGGTCGGAGAAGATCTCAACCCCCCAAGCATGAGGTGATGGGCGGAGGAATGGATAGGAAATCCTTGCTTTTGGCTGACTGGGACATTAGCGCAGTGTTGCTTAGACTCATGCTGTCCCCTCCCTCCCATCGTAAGGTGTTCTTCGTGATTCGTCTGATTGCTGGGCCCGCCGCAAACTCCCTGCCGCTCATCGTGGAGCCGGACCCGCTGATGGCGTGCGACCTGATGGACGGCCGCGACGCATTCCTGACGCTGGCGCGCGACAAGCACCTGGAGTTCTCCTCGCTGCGACGTTCCAAGTGGAGCACCATGTGCATGCTGGTGGAGCTGCACAACCAGAGCCAGGACCGCTTCGTCTACACCTGCAACGAGTGCAAGCACCACGTGGAGACGCGCTTCCACTGCACCGTCTGCGAGGTGCGCTGGGGAGGCGGGGTGTCTTGGGGCCGCGATTTCTCTGAGAGGGGTGGCTTTCTGTCTGCTCAAGTTTATGAACGAGACCATTTGCTTATTTCCTCTTTTCCCTGCAGGACTATGACCTGTGCATCAACTGCTATAATAACAAGGGCCACGAGCACAAGATGGAGAAGCTGGGCCTGGGCCTGGATGACGAGAGCAACAGCCAGGCTGCAGCAGCCACGCAGAGCCCCGGCGACTCACGGCGCCTCAGCATCCAGCGCTGCATCCAGTCGCTGGTGCACGCTTGCCAGTGCCGTAACGCCAACTGCTCGCTACCATCCTGCCAGAAGATGAAGCGCGTGGTGCAGCACACCAAGGGCTGCAAGCGCAAGACCAACGGCGGCTGCCCCATCTGCAAGCAGCTGATCGCGCTCTGCTGCTACCACGCCAAGCACTGCCAGGAAAACAAGTGCCCCGTGCCCTTCTGCCTCAACATCAAGCAAAAGCTGCGCCAGCAGCAGATCCAACACCGGCTGCAACAGGCGCAGATGCTGCGCCGGCGCATGGCCAGCATGCAGCGCACCGGCCAGCCCACAGGGGGCAGCGGAGCAGGAGGTCTGCCTTCCCCGGGGAACAGCAACTGCACCACCGCGCCTAGCACCCCCACGTCAGTTGGGGCTCAGCCTCCGACGCCACAGACACCCACCCAACCCAGTGTGCCGTCTGTGCCCCCGCCGGGGGTGGGTGGGGGCGGCCCCCAACCGCACCACCTGCAACAGATGCCCGCTGGCGGCTTGATGAACTCGCCGCAGCAGCAGCAGCAGCAGATGATGCCCCAGGTGCCGCCACCACAGCAGCCGCAGCCTCCCCAGGCCCAGCAGCTCCAGCACGCTAACAGCCTGCCACCCTATGTGCCCCGCCATCCATTCTCCTCCCCACAGTCCCAGGGAAAGCCGGGGCTGGGTCCGGCCACTCCACCCCAGCAGCAGCAACAGCCGCAGCCCCTGCAGCCCAACCCTGGGCAGCCACCCATGGCCCCGCAGCAGCAGCCGCCGCCACCTTCGTCGGGGCCCCCCCCAGCGGCTGTCGAGATCGCCATGAAAATCCAACGAGTAGCTGAGACCCAGCGCAAGATGGCCCAGGCACAGATCCTGAAGAGACAGGCGCCCAACATGATGCCTCCTCACCCCCACCACCAGCCCCCACAGCCCCAGGCCCCCATAGGCATGGGCCACCCCGGCGCCGGCATGGTTGGGGCGCCCGGTCTGTCCCCGCAGGCTGCCAGGGCCCACATGGAGCAGCAGCAGACCCCCCAGCAAGGCATGATGGTGGGCATGCAGCAGCCTCTGCCGCAGGGTAACCCTCAGAATCAGCTCCCGCCGCAAATGCCACTCCCACAACAAGGTGCCCCCCAGCTCCAGCCGCCCCAGCAGCAACCGCAGCAGCAGGCTTGGGGCAACCCATCCATGCAGATCCAGCCGAGGTCTGGCATGATGGGCCAGGCTGGTCACCCAGCCATGATGGTGGCCCAGCAGCAGCAGCCAGGCCAGGGGCCCGTGATGGGTGTCCCGGCCGGAGCCGGTGGGTTGGCGGGTGGCGGTAGCCTCCCACAGGCTGCCCTGCAGGAGCTACTGCGTGCCCTTCGCTCGCCCAGTTCGCCGCTGCAGCAGCAGCAAGTGCTGGAGATCCTGCGTGCCAACCCGCAACTCATGGCTGCCTTCATCAAGCAGCGTGCTTCCCGCTATAAGGGCGGGGCCCCGGGAGGGGGGGGTGGCATTGCTCCCGGCCCAGGAGCCATGGGTCCCTCTGCCGTCAACGTGAATGCCGGTGCTGTGGCCGCAGGTATGCACATGGGCCAAGGAATGGGCATGCCCCCTATGGGTCCGCTGCAGCAACAGCCGCAGCCACAGCAACAGCAGCAGCAAGCTGGCCTGCAGGGCCAAGCTGCCAATATGACCCCCCAGTTCAGAGAGCTGCTGATGCGGAGGCAGCTCCAGCAACAACAACAGCAGCAGCAGCAGCAGCAGCAGATGGGCGCCCACGGCCAATTCCAGCAGCCGCAGCCGCCCCAGCAGCAGGCCTACCTGGGCCAGCAGCCCGGCCAGCCTCAGCCCGCGGGGCCGCAGCCCGGCCAGCCGCAGCAGGCCTACCCGGGCCCTGCGCTCCAGCAGCGGCTCCAGTCACATCAGCACCACCTGCAGATGCAGCAGCAGCAGAACGCAATGTTGCAGGGGGGAGACGGTGGGGGCGGAGGCCCCCCCCTCCAGCAGCCACAGCAGCCCCCGCCCCCTCAGGGCGGCCCCCAGGCCGCGTCCTCCCAGCCCATGTCCATGCTTCCGCAGGTCCTGCACCAGCGGCTCATGCAACAGCAGCAGCAACACTTGGGCGGCGGTTCCCCGGCCCAGCACGGCAGCCCCATGAGCCCCCAGCAGAACCCCATGTCGCAGTCGCCCCACCCGCACCTGCAGGGGGCGCCCCTAACGGCTGCCGCCTCGCTGAGCAGCCAGGTGCGCTCGCCCCAGCTGTCGCCGCGGCCGCAGTCGCAGCCGCCGCGCTCCAGCCCCTCGCCCCGCATGCAACCCCAGCCCTCCCCCCACCACATCTCCCCCCAGACCCAGACAGGCTCCCCGCATCAGGGCCACCTGCCCCAGCACCACCCAGCCATGGGAGTCCCCCAGCCCCTGGCCCAGCAGCAACAGCAGCAAGGCCCCATGGACCCAGGGCCGTTCGGCAGCGATCCGAACGCCATGCTGTCTCAGCTTAGCAGCATGGGGGCGCTACACGGACCCGGGGCCACAGAGCTAATGGGCGGCAACAGTCAGGACGTTAATCACAGTACCTTAGACATGATGTAGCATCGCAAGTGCATCACAAACCGGGGGCAGTGTTAGGATTTTTATCATTATTATTGTTATTATTATTATTAACATTATTTAATATTTTTCCAGTACAATAAAAATGAACTGAACTTCCTATGGGAGACTCTACAATAAGGCAATGAATGAATAAAAATTTAATGAATGGTAAGTTATTGCTGTTAATATATATATTTTTTTTTGCTAATTGTGTACAAAATGGGGGATAATTTTGTCTGTCTCCTGCAGAGAATAAGACACAGGTAATATTTTTTGGGGTGGGGAGGGAGAATTTGCCTTTTTAAAGAAATATTTTTAAGATTTTAAAAGTGGTGGAGAATTAATGAACAAAATGGTTTAATGCAAGGACTTTTTTTATTGTAAATTTTCCTCCATAAATCAGTCTCTGTTTTCGGTTTTGCAGAGTGATGTGGGATTATTATTATTATTATTATTATTATTATTATTAATCAATCCAAACATTGCAGCATATCTTCCTTTAAAGTTTGGGTTTGTTTTATTTATTTTTGTTTTTTTTTGACGGTTTAATGGTATGTGTACTTTGAGACTGCTACATTGAGAGTATATTTTTGTTAACTGTCTGAATGGATTATCATTCTTTTCCTCTTTTGGGGTGGGGATTTTTTTATGTTGGTTGGAGGTTAAGGTTTGGTTCACGGTGTAAGCGGCCAATTTTTTTTGGTTTTGGTTTTTATTTCGTTTTCTGTTCTTTCATGCCGTATCGGACAGGCCGAGCCATTAGACATCAGTGTTCTGCTGGGGCGCCCCCCCCCCCATCCACCCCCCACCCATGACTGTGGGTCAGCTCCCTGCATTGAGACACATTTATCAGAAGTGGTGGGGGTACAGAAGAAGCATTTACTGTACCTGTGTGTGGGGTAGGTTATGATGGGAGGTAGTGGGGGATTTGTTCATGGGGTGGGGAGGGCGGTCAATCTGGAGACCTTTAAATTCTGCCAGGAGGATTTTCAGTGAGGGGGAGTGTACTAGAAGGCGAAGCTTCTGCCTTCCATGGACTGTACTGAAGAAAAAGGAGGAGGAACCAGGAGGTGCAGGAGGAACCAGGAGGTGCAGGAGGAGGAAAAGGGACATGTCAGACTAACCCTTTCTCCTCGGCGTCAGACCCTTGCTGCTCCCTCTGGGCTGAGACCCTATGCACTCCAAAAACGCTGACGCTCCACAGCGCCCCCTCAGGAGGTCATGGCCTGCCTGCCTGCCTTCCCTACAGCCCCCTCTTTGTGCTCAGAACTTTGGGATTTTAATTTAATATTTTTTACTGTACAAAGTAAAACTGTGGACTTAAGTACTTTTTTTAAATAAAATTGAAAGTTAAAAAAAAAGTTGTACAGGTTTTTATGAGTACTACCAAATGTTCAGTTTTATTAGAAATATTGATTTCTTTATTCTCTCCCCCCCCCCAAAATAGAAAAGCGTCTTGTGACATCACAGAAATGAAGAAGGAATGAGGAATGGGCAGATCAAATGTTTTATTACACCCAGGTATGTTTGCCTGGAAATGTCTCTTTTAATGGTCTGAAGCAAAATTTGATTGATCCAGGTGTTATTTGTCATCATCATTCCCATTCTGACAGGCAGAATAAGGACTTAGTTAACTTAAGCCTTGGTACTTTATGGAAATTATAAGTATTGTCTGTTTTTGCTAAGTTAGACATGTTGAAATGTTAGATATGAGATGGAAAAACAATTTTCAGTGAAAATGTCAAACCATTCAAAGACCTTTGTGAATGTACATTTGTAAATTCAACAAAGCCTCTAATGGTGATGCTTTCTAATTCTTCACGCAACTTCTCAAAAAGTTCTGACACACCAAGGTGCTTACGACGGAAAGTGATAGTGTCGTGTGACCTGGCTATCTGATCTGAACACATGCCCTAGGAAAAGTTTGACCAGAGTTAAGGAAAAGCAGCCAATGAGTGCTCAGCATATGTAGGACCTTCAGGACAGTTGGATCATCCCAGGAGGCCACCTCATGGAACTGGTGTAGAGGAGACAGTAGGGTCAACCAGGGCCTGGAGCATTTGGGATTAAGGGCCTTGCTGGGGGGCACAATAGTGGGAACATTCTGCCGACTCAGGGATTTGAACCAGCAACCTTCTGAGTCCCAACCCACAGAGCTGCCCCCCCACAAATTAATTTGTTTAATACTTTTTTGGTCAGTGGATAATTTCTGGTATCTTATTTTATAGTTGTTATATCTTTGTAGTTATTCTAAAATGTAGAGAAAATTACAAATGAACATTTCTATGGGTAGGGTTGTCCATACTTTTGAGTGGTACATCTACTCATCTGTCCATCTTTTAGGTATTCAATACGAGGGAGTGGACAGCATGCATTGTATCCCAGGCAAAATAAGGACCACAGGGTGAGGGTGTGGTCATTATTGTGTGTGTGTGTGTGTGTGTGTGTGTGTTTTGTTGATTGACATCACATCTAGGGTGCAGCCCAGTCTCGTGCTGCACATTAGCAAGAACGCTTTTTCCTTCAAAACACTGACACCTTATAACTTAAACAAAATACTGCAGACTTTTATGACAAAATGATACTAAATTACTCCTTAAGTTCAAACTGAAAAATGAACTTGGGTTAACGAGTTTAGGCTAAGCCACTGACACGAATTTGTAATGATCCGCACTTAATTCCTTTCAGGTAATGCCGCAAACCTCGAGGGCAATGCAATCATATATTGCACATTGAATTAAATCTCTTATACTGCGGCTATTGCGTGATATGACACTTAGTATACGGTTAACGAATGAATTATGGACGTTTCGTTTTTATCGTCGCTATAAATGAACGCATCTGAACCCGTATATATATTCAGCGACAAAATAAGTGAAAATCTCCCTAGTCAAGCTTCACAGCAGGCAGGCGATTATCAGATTATTACCGTTGCATCAGTTTTATTCTCAAATAAGATCCGCTCGGGATCTTTCTACTCGGTGCCCCTCAGGTTATTTAAGACCCCTGCCATTACGCATGTTGTGTGTATAAGAATTATAAAACGATCGTGTATTATTACGCTATTACTGATTACAGCAGCTTAAAAACGTTATACCGATTTTACGAGTTAATGCACTGCAGTTTGTTTATACAGGGTTCCCCAATTCCAGTCCCGTACGGCCAGAATCTAACACAGTTTGCAGATTTCCCTGCTCAAACACATCTAAATCAGCTAATTTCCAGGTTTACTGCGTGTGTTCAGGTCCCCCAGAACACTACTCTCTATTCTCCACAAGATGGCAGTATGCAGCCAGAAAAGACTATTTGCCCCAAATAACAGTTTTTTTTACAGTTGTCTCAATTTTATGTCCACGTTTTGAAAACACTTAACACATGCACCATATCAGTAGACTACGTGAACTAAACTGTATATACCTTTGCATTGGTTTAATAAAAAATGCATTCAATCAACACTTAGATCACTAGATGAATATATGCTGCATTTTGACAAATTATACATATGCTTGAAATTAGATTATTCTGATTTTCTGAGCCCAGCAGCTGGGTTGCAGGTGGGGTAGACATAGTGACCCCACCTGTTAGGCTGGAAAATGCAAAGGTGACACCCAGTGGGGGGACACTGACATCTGACGGGGGGGCGGTACCAAGGTTGTCAACTTTAGTCAGTTGGCTGGCGGGAGATTTTCAATTCGAGACAAGTCTATACAGACATTACATGTATGTATTAGTTTTATTCTTACGCCCCTAGGTCCGATGACCTATTACAGTACTAGCTGCTGATCTGTAGTATAAACTACGAGATTTGATGGCCGTGGCTTCATAAGGGTGAGAAAGGTTAAGTTAACGTTTTGATTTGCTTATGGCTTCATCATGGTTGCTAGATTTGGTCAGCTGGCTGACGTGAGATTTTCAATTCGAGATTGGTCTGCGCATTCATTTACAATTTTACATGTAACAGTTTTATTACCTTGTGAATAGTCTGTAGGGTTTATAAACTATCCCAACGTTTTTTGATGTTGCTAATTTTAAGTTTGTAATTGAATAACACAGATTTGCAGTAAGATTTCTTGCGTGAGCGTGAGAGTCAGAAAGCGAGTGAGTGTCACACCAGATGCGAGAGAGTTGGCAGCCATGCCCGGTACCGTCTCCCACTACACCATGCCACGATCAGGGTCTATAATGCAACCCTGAGAGAGAGCACAGGAAATTACTTTGGGTCTGGAAGGTCGCCTCAAGTACAAGGAAGAATGACAGAGAACGGACCATCCAGATTGGACGACAGTAGGCAGCACTGCCGTCTCACACTCACACCGCAGAGTTGCACACTGAGCTGGTTACCAGTTCCACTTCAAGCCAGGCAGAGGCGTCCGATGATCATTTTATTCTGTGTCCACTGCTGCAACAAGTGACCCTTGATAAAGTAATTACAGAATCATCGCTTAAACTCCCTATGCAGTTTTAAGCATCGTCCGTCCCCGCATGATGTATCAGGGTAAATAGCTGCGAGATGAACTTCGGCACAGTGGTCGTTATTGCGGGGGTAACGGGACTGCTTAGCTTCGGCTTCTTGGCTGTGGCGATCGGAAGCGATTACTGGTACATCATTGAGGTGAACGCACCGAACAACACAAATTCAGAGGAGCTCAACTCCCATTCCGGACTCTGGAGAATATACGAAGGTATTAAAATAATTACACAGTTAGTGGTGATTTGATGCATGATTTTTGGTTATAGCACGCTCGTCAACGTTCCATCTTTTAGCCTACAAATGCATGTAAAAGAAAAAATGTCGCGATCATTTTTATGCCTTGTAAATAAACGCTTTAATAAATAGCGATTACAATCGCTGTTAATTATATCTGCTTTAAAAAACCGTGTGTGGAGGCAATTCTAGCGTCTTTTAGAATATAGTTTTAATGCAAAGTAAAATGTATAAGTTATGCATGCTTCATTAGATTTAGAAAACACCTGGGCATAAGTACTTTATAGTAGGGATATTAAATAATGCCACGTACAGTATACATGTGTGTTGCCGTATAGAGAAAGCATTGATTGTTCAATCGAGATACGGAGATAGTCATAAACCAAATGTAAGTCCGCTAGAAAATACGGTAACAGATACTTTGAGAAATTTAGATTTCCCTAGAATTAGGTATTTTATTAGCGAAAATTTGCAGTTCGGTGTATGTATAACGACATTTTATTTCTATATGTTTGGTAAAAATGTCTATATTTGTAATTGCAAATTAGGTTACTTCTACATTTGTACTGTGTTATACTTTACAATTTGTACTGTCTACGGTTTTCCAGATATGCTGTACTATGTAGATTAGCTTTAAGTAATTCGATGTGTAATAATTAACATGCATGAAATTGCAGATGAGCTAATGAGCTCTTGTTGCAAAATTAGTCCACAGTCACAACTGGCCACGCGGTAAGCATTAATTGGCTTACTGACTGTAATATAATAACGTAATGCTGTGATAACAGATAAAGTCAATTTTTTTCCGAAAACCAAAATGAGGTACAACGTACGTATGCCTCTCTGATATAGCCATTTTTGCGGGGGTCGGTGTCTTATTGGGGTCCTTGGTAAGTCTATACAGTCTTGTTAGCACTCCTGGTAACACTTTATAATACTGTTCCGTAGTTAACAGGTAAATATGCAGGAAGTAAGCAGCAACAAAGGAGTAGCGCTTCATTAACACCTAAATTGGTACTATTAACTACTAAGGAGTTATGCTTATAATTACTCAATAGGTAATAGTGAACTAATTATTATAGTAGTTCTCTTACTTCATTAGGAACTATTGAGTATTGCTGGTCTCATTGGGAATTATGTACTAACTATGGATTATTTCTAATAACTGCTAGTTCATTACTCATCAAATGAACAGTGCTTTTTTTTGGACTAACAGGAACTTACAGGCTACTGTTCTCAATGGTTTTTACCATTTTTTCCCCCTTTTGGAATAACAGGCTTGTTTCTTCCTACTTGTTTGTATGACATACAACTTATTCTACAAAATATTACTGCCTAAAATATGTATACAGTACCTACATTTTAATTATTTACCTCACTTCAGTCCGTGTGCCAGCGTTCTTCAAACTGTGCTTTGAAGTCCAACTGAAGGGATGGTCAAACAGAGACTCGTGTTTTGCCACATGATGTGCTCCACCACATATTGTTAATCTTTTCTAAACATTAAGAAATTAATGTGTCCCTCTTGGGATTGAGTGGAGAATTTTCCGGTGCTTATCAACCATCTGCACTGCAGAGTAGGGACACGGTAGCTGAGTCTGGTCCCCGAATTCAGTTACCTTGGTTCACTTATGCATCCCTGGTTATGGTTTCCAGGTAAAAACGGCAGTTCCCATTTCATCCCCTCCATCCTTGCAGAGACGGCGAATTACACCGACCAGGAGAGGAATCTGCTCGGTGAGTCCTGGCATTTTATCCATATTAAATGCTGGCATTATGGTTTGTTCTGAATAATTTTCTAACACACTTTTAGCAAAAGTGTAAACATTGGTCTCGATATTCCAGCACTATTGTGCCGATTGCCTTTCTACATTGACAAAAAGAATGAGATTTAAGCATTTTTTCTGTTCTTTTTCTAGCACAAATGATTTTTCTTTTTTCTACTGTACTTTTGCTGTCTGAGCAGTGTTAGAACATTTTGGGGAAAAAAATAAAATAAATGCCTTTAATCCCCCTTATTTGTATTGATAATGTCTTATGTTGGGAACATAAATCCATACTTTATATATTTGGATACCTGTATATTTGTGTGATGGCAGCAATTTTTTGAAAACTGTTACACTCGGCACACAGAAAAGGCTAAAGCCACAAGCGTTTTTCATTTAGACTGTCAGTGTGTGGTTGGGGCTTCGTGCGCGAATTCAATTGATGGTTTGTGTCACTGTATTGATAGGAAAACACATGTTTTTTGAAAGAGCTTGAAGTATTATGCAAGATCTGTTGACGTTTTCAAGAGATCTTTCGTTTTGCTGGTTCAGTGTAAGGTTTTGGGGATAGTGTGTACAGTTTTGGAAAAATAGGCTATTGTTTCAAGGATAGTGATAAAGCAATCAGAAAAAAATGTAACACATTGAGAAAAAAGGTGGGGTTTTGAGAAAGTGGACACCATGAAAGCAAAAAGGAAGGTTACATTCATTTAACTTTTCCATCCATCCATCCATCCATCCATCCATCCATCCATCCATCCATCCTTCCTTTATAAGGGTTGCATGTGATGAATGCGTCATAACAATTTTTTTGACTTTACAGAAACTGAATCTGAAATCCAGAAATCAATTTAATGACTTTAACTCGTGGCCATAGGTGGAAATTTGTGAGAGAACATTTTAAAATGGATTTGAAAAAACATTTCTTTACACAGCGTGTAGTTAGATTATGGAACAGTCTCCCGGTTAATATAGTGCAAGCTAAAACCCTGGGGTCCTTTAAATCAGAGCTAGATAAAATTTTAACAACTTTAAGCTATTAGTTGAGTTTGATGAACTGAATGGTCCCCTCTTGTTTGTAAATGTCTTATGTTCTTATGTTTTCCTTGGGGGGGCAGCATAGTGGTGCCTCAGACCTCTGGAACCTGGGTTCAAGTCTCCACCAGGGTTCCATATGTCTGGAGTTTGCATGCCCCCCCCCTGTCGTCATGTGGTTTTCTCCAGGTAGATCAAAATTGGAATTACCAAATTACCCATAGGTGTGAATGGTGTGTGAGTGTGCCCTGCGATGGGTTGGCACCCCATCCCGGGTTGTTCCTGCCTTGTGCCCTGCGGTGGGTTGGCACCCCATCCCGGGTTGTTCCCTGCCTTGTGCCCTGCGATGGGTTGGCGCCCCATCCNCCCCATCCCGGGTTGTTCCCTGCCTTGTGCCCTGCGATGGGTTGGCGCCCCATCCCGGGTTGTTCCCTGCCTTGTGCCCTGCGATGGGTTGGCACCCCATCCCGGGTTGTTCCCTGCCTTGCACCCATAGACTCCAGACCTCTCACTGCCCTGAACTAGACAAGCAGTTTCAGAAAGATGGATGGATGCTTTGCTTGCTTCATTTTATTTTGTTCTTCAAAACTTAGTAAATATTTTTAAGGGGTCTATGAAGCTGTTTCATAAATAGTGGATTAAAAAAACGTCCATCCGCCTATCTGCTAAAAAAAAGCATCCATCCAGCAGTTTAGTCACAGCCCACGCGGTGCCCAAGCCAAGCTTCACTCTACCTGCCTCTCCAGACAGGGTTGGCTGGGGGGATAGAGGGAGAAACTAGCTGCCCCCTCAGAAGAAGGTGCTTATGGCAGTTGCCTGGGTTGAACAGCATGGATCCATCCATCTACCCATCCATCCCCTATACTTATCCTGGTCAGGGTAGGACCTGTAGCCTTTCCCAGGCAGCACAGGGTGCAAGGCTTGGGAACACCCTGGACACGAAGTGTAAATATTCTCACTTCTTTTACATTTTTCTAAATTTCGTAAGTATAGCATATCAAACACCACACTGACGGTATAGTAAATATCCTGGATGTCAGTGTACTTAGGCATTCTTACATGAAACTCAGAGCTTGAAACTCTTTAGGGTTTTTTTTTGTTTTTAGCAAACAACTGCAACAAAAAAGATGGTGAATGTCACGATCCGCACGTCGGCCTGTACGCCTGTCTGCTTTTATTCCTTTTGTAAGGCCTTTACATGTAGGTCTGTGTGTGGGTGTACATTGTTGTTATTATGTCATCAGTTTGCAGTCCCTTTTATCCAGAACAACTCATTGTTACTCAAAATATTACTCTATACCAGGGGTGTTAAACTGCAGTCCTGGGGGGCCGGAGTCTTGTATAGCTTAGTTCTTTTCCTGATCCACCACAAATGATTCAGCTCAAGAACTATGTGGTAATTAGCACAAGAACTTTAATCAGGTGTGTTAAATGAGGGGAAACCCAAAAATGTGCAGGGCTCTAGCCCCCCAGGACTGGAGCCTGACACCTGTGCTCTATACTGTGTATCAGGGGTGGGGGAGCAATCAAGGTGTCCCCTCAGTCACGCAGATGTTTATGTTTAGCAGACGCTTCTGTGGGGGTCAGAGGGTAGGCCCTCATCCCATGAGCAGTTAGGGCTAAGGGCCTTAAGATGCGATTACTCCACCTGCTGTAGGCTTTGAACTCATAGCCTTCTGGAGCTAGTGACAGCTCCCTACCCCACTGAGATACCCACCACCCATACAATGCTTTTCAAACATTTTAAAAGGATGAGAAACACTAAAATAATAAACTTGCAACCTATAAAAACTGGCAAAGCTATCAATAAACTAATACACGATTGTAACGACTCTTTCCAAACAAGGCCTACATAACGATGTTTTGGTCAGCGGCGGACAACATGTACGACTGTGATCCCATAAGATTATACTATAATGGAGCTGAAATATTCCTATCACCTTGTGATGTTGTACTCATGTGTTTATGGTGATGCTGGTGTAAACAGACCTACTGCCCTGCCATCCATATAACAGTATAGCACATAGTTATGTACAGTGCATGATAATAAACAGCCAAATTACTGGTTTATGTATTTACTATACTGTACTTGTTATTGTAGAGTGTACTATTTCTACTTATAAAAGGTTTGCTGTTGCCTAGATGTGTAGTAGGTTATACCATCTAATTTTGTTTAAGTACACTCTTGTTACGAATGGACATAGTGAAGGTTGGATAATCCACATAGTGGCTCACAAAAAGAGACTTTAATTACTCAAAAAAAGGACACCGAAAACAAAATGAACCACGGGAGGTCAAAAACAAAGCAGGTAAACAACTAAGAACTAAGGCAGGGAGCAACAAAGGAACAACCCTAGTAGGACAGCAGCAATCACAGGGCAACAACAACTACAAGCGCGGAAATGACCGATTGGGGAAAAGAGTAGGGTTAGGCACTTAAACACACTTAACACGGGCTTCAACAAGAGACAGGTTTAAGCAGTAACAGTTACTAGGAATACCAACACAGGTGAGAGCAATCAACAGATGGGGGACCCCAACAGGAAAGGAGACTAGAAAACAGGGGTAACTGAACATTGCTAAAAACAGGGAACCGGAAGGAACCATAACATATTACATAGATCAAGAAAATAAAGAAACATAAACAATGAACATTACAAACAACAAAAAGGAATCCTGTATCACACAGCCATCCACTCACCCCATTAAGCCATGTGGCAGGCAAGGAACCACATTAAGGTGCTAAACACTGGAAAAAAAGGGGAAAACGGAACGGGTTTACCAGTGACACCAGCTAGCCAAACGGGGAATTGACAGATATAACAAAAAGAGGGCAGGGTAGGGCATGGACCAGTCCTGACGCACTCTACGAAGTTCCAACAATGACAAAATCACTTCACAGCATATTTCTCAGAATGTCTGACAGTACATTAAAGATCTTAGCGTTGCTAACCTGTGTATTAATAATGAACAACAGCTCATTTCAATGCTGTTATTGTACATATGCAATACCAAGATGTTGGTCATCGTGACGGTGTGCAGGGTCCCTCACACAGGCTTGCACTCTGTCGCCCCCTGCAGACATGCACAGGGTGATCGTCATCCTGTTACCCCTCAGCCTGGTGCTGCTGGTGTGCGGCTGGGTCTTTGGCTTGGTCAGTTCCCTGGCTCGCAGTCCCACCCTCCTCTCTGGCACCTCCTCCTACTTCCTCATCTGCAGTAAGTGATCGCCTGGTGATGGTCATGCCTGTCTCCATTCTCCTGCCTCTGCTACAATGCTTTTTTCGGCCCTGAGCTGGAAGGTTAAGTCGACATTAGATAAAAGAGATGAGCGACTCCATAAATGGACACAGACACCTGTGCGGATGCAAGCTGAGGATTTAAGTCCAGGTACTGAGAGCACTAATGCTCTCCAGTGTTCCTCAACGAAGAGCCGGCAAACAAAACACTTGAAATGAGCTTTGCTATTCAGTTCGACAAAAAAAGACACAGTTTTCTACACTGGAAAGTAGCAGAGTTTTTTTCAATATGACTTAATGGTGTTGAATGAAAAAAACTGGAACCACACTAAACAGGTTTGCAGAAATCCAGCACCTGGTTTTCAATAAGCAGCCCCGGAATTAATTATCGTACCAATGACATGCTTAAAATTTCATTAAATTGCGCCGAACCTTTGGCAAGTGCCCCTTAGACAGGTTGCCCACTTTACTCGGTTTGCAAAGAAATGCAAAGCCAGGAATTTAATTGCAAAATGACCCCCCCCCACCTATGACCACCATGATTGGACCATGATGCCGATAGACTGCAAGAAATACAAATCAGAAGACAAGAAAGGTCAGAGCTGAATTAGATGAGGATAAAAGAATCCAACACTCCTTTTTTTCTCTTTTTTTTACTCGCAGTGACACCCACACATCATTTACTCCCTGCTTGGTTTAGTTGCTGCCGAACCTTTTATGCCAGCATCAGTCATTACGACAATGGGCTTGACGCAATTACAGAAGACAAATGAGGTCACAGGCTGCTTTCAGCACAGAAAACACGATGATTTTCTCATGCTTGTTCCAGGCACCGAGTTGAAGGTTGAGGGGCCCGTCTTGAGAGTGACATGGAACAGCGTGACATGGTATCTTTAGTGCATAGTGTGGGCTGCATCGAGTCACCCTTTCACTGTTGGGTGCCGGCTGAATGTGTGAAGACAAGATCCTTGGGTTAAACACTCAACACAAAGGAGTATGAAGCTTGTTTCACGTACCACTTCTGACAAAAACCTTGTACTGGCGCAGGCACTGTACACAATGACGTGAAACCTGTGAATTTTCATGAGACTTTGGAGGTCTTTCAACACCTACGCGGTTGGCTTGTCCTTGGTTATCTATTTCTAAGAAAGTCAGCTGCCGTATCAGTACGGACGAGAACTGAGGACAAAGGTGAAAGAGCCGAATAAGCTGGAAAAACAGGCATGGGTTGACAGTGTCGTTTTTAAACACCAGTATTTTTAATTTGCAATTCGTAGGCAAGTCAGAAAAATGATACAGTACATAATAATAATTATACATAAATAATATAACTATATACTGTACTGAACCGCTGACGCCATGCAATGTTTTCATGAGCGTCACAAAGCAGTACATGTGTTTGTTATTACGAACGACTGTATTTAACCCAAATTTTTATAAAACAGGCTTATTGTCAGTCCATTCTTAAGTGTGAGTTATCCATAAGTCGGACATTCTTAACCTATGGATTGTCTAATAAAGAGATGGTTCTAGTGTGTACTTTGGGGTGTCAGTCGGCCATAGTTGGATAATTCTGTTTCAGAAAGAAAACATCCAAACCAAGATTTTGTACCAACCAACTGATTAAACACTCTGTGACTCTTTATACTCAATATCAATATTCAGTATTAGTTTAAATACTAGACCTTGTGGCCATTGGCAGAAACTAGCGGGAGAACATTTTAAAATGGATTTGGGGAAGCACTTCTTTACACAGCGCGTAGTTAGAGTATGGAATAGTCTTCCTGTTAGTGTAGCGGAAGCTAAAACCCTGGGTTCCTTTAAATCAGAGCTAGATGAGATTTTAACAACTCTGAGCTATTAGTTAAGTTATCCCCAAACAAGCTTGATAGGCCGAATGGCCTCCTCTCGTTTGTAAATTTATGTTCTTACTCAACTTGAACTATCCACCTCTGCAGTTGGCTTTGTGAACTTTCTTGCTCATTAAATGCAGCCCTTCAACAGCCATTTTCTTGTGCCACTGGTTGCTTGTTTGTTTTTTGCTGTTGTTTTTGCTGCAAGGGATGAAGTGGTCAAAGGTCTAGAACATGTGTAAGTGTAGCATTCGTTTAAGTTGCCCAGTCAGTGAAGCACTTAGCTCTGTTCCAATCAGCTTCCTAATGCTCCTATAGCTGGCAGCATAAACACTATGCTGACTACTGATTGGATATATCTTTGGATACAAGCCATCATGACAGTATTTATGAGCAGCCCTCACATGCAGCCTCTCTTTGCTTTCTTCACATCGGTATGTAGAACCGAAAAGGTCTAGGAGCAGAGGGAGCCGTCTCGTGTTTTGCCAAGCCTGGCCGTGCTAGCGTGTGACTGATAGCACGCTCCTCACCGCCTGTCCGTTGTGCCTTTCCCACAGGCATCCTGACGCTATCTGGCGTGAGCCTCTACATCAGCTATTCGCAGAAAGCCCTGGAGGAGATTGAAAACCAGTTTGGGGCACTGCTGTTAGCCCAAGTGCACGTGTCCTTCGGCTGGTCCCTCGCTGTGGCCTGGCTCTCCTTCAGCCTGGAGGTCTCTACAGGTCTTCTTCTCCTGCTGGCTGCCAGGATGATCCTTCTGGAAGCCCGTCTAGAAGCCTCCTCTGTCGCCGACTCGCCAATCTAGAGTTCCAGCTCAGTTTTGTCTCCACCTACAGACTCCATCTCTGCTCGCCCTGCAGCCAACCGTACACCTCTCCACAGAACTGCTGTGTTTGACTAATTCGGCAAACATCTCGATATGCTCTCTCTCTCACACATGAACACCTCATGACAACTAGGTATGGAGGGGAAAATTAATAGCATGAAATGAATATTGGCTACAGAGAGGAAAATTAATATTTATATAAAATATTCATTACAAATTGCCACCACTCTCGGCAATCATTACTGTGGTTGCAGGAAATGACTGAAATGTTAATTAGACCAGACTAATAGAGACCCTAGGGTCAGTCTTCACACCTCGCCTCATACTAGTCTTCTTTTATAGTGTCTGTGAAAACTGACATTTACGCTTAGCTACATGTAATTTAACCTTTGAAATATGTTTTGTAAATCACTGTAGTGTTTTCCTAGTGAGAAGATCTGATGCCTGCTGCTGTCTGTGCATAAGCATCATTTGTGATTCAGAAGGACATGAAGCAACTTCATTTCCCTGCCTATTTAACAAGCAGCTGTTTCACCCAGTAAGTGACACATTTACAAGGTGTACCACTGCAGTATAACCAAACAGGCCAGCGCTCTGCCAGAGCTCAGACACTCTTTAATCTTCTCTCAGATCCCTGAATAAGAAAAGCAACTCAAATAAGATTTAGGACCAGGGTGGCTGGCTAATCTAAAATGCTAAGAGTCTCTGAATTTTCAGTTTACTTACAAGCCTTACTGGTCATAAATTGTGTGACTATATTTAAAAGTAATTTTGTACTGTGAAGAGCAAAAACTTAAAACCAAGGACTCGCGCCCCACTTGGCTTTCCAAACGCTGTGCTAAATGAATGTTTCCCTCCTCTTACTGATGACTGTACAGCAGTGGCGTACGGCAGTGTATCGCTGCCAAGACAAAAAGAAAATCCCGGCGAATTTCTCATTATAACAAGAAAAAAATTCACGTCATAACGAGATCCATTTCACGTTTTAATCCATTTCACGAGTCACCCTTCACGATTCAGGCATTTTCGGTCCATTGGATTAACTAATGCTGGACATCGAGGAACTATCTCTAAGAGGTCTGACTGATTCTTCTGTACAACCCCAAGCTTTTCAAACACACATTTCAGACAATACCACCTACCGAGCTCAATAACAGCAGAATTTCACTCTCATCCACAGAATTAAATAAAACAAACCATATAAACAAATCATTATCAGTTTTCATCTTCCCTTTTCCTTTGAGCTTCTTCTCGTAACGTATCCGCTACATTACGAGAAACGTTTGTGATTTTAACTAAATCGTTTAGCTTCTCGTTTAATTAGAGTCTTATGTTATTTCTTGTTTTAACCAGGTAATTATGTTGTTGAAGCACAAAACCTTTCTTGTTTTAATGAGAAGATTTCATAACTTATAACAAGAACATTTTCAAGACACTGGGCAAATATTATTTTTGTTTTAGTGGCAGCAAATACCCTGTCATACATAAGCCGCTGTTACATGGTATCAAACCATTTTCTCCTGCCTATAGTGTGAATTTCATGTTATTGCAGCAGAAAGGAGAAATCTTGAAGTCCTTGTTTTGATGTAGAACTTTTAATGTATTTTTTTTCTCCTTGAAGTCTTTCGAGGTTAAAACAGAATAACTAAATCTGCTCAAAGTTCACTGATCGTTCCTTGGTGACTGTCTTGTGTGTCAAAGCTCATTTATGGTGAAGTCACTATTTTCCTTTTAGTTGGCACTTGGCGAACAAGGCAGAACTTCTCGGTGTTCCGGATGTTTCTGGAGGTCACGTATGTTCTTACTTGGGAACTATGATGCTAATATGTCCCTTAATTTACTAATTTAGCATACTCTACTTGTACTTTCATTTTTGAATCTAATTATTGTCAATTGTTCCCAGAATGCTTTGGGGTTTATGAAAAGCCTTAGAGCCCTAGGTGGCGCAATCAGGTTCCTCGCCAAGGAGTGCAGAGGAACATGGGTCACAGTGCTGGAGAGAGAGAGTGGAAGAGGAGCAGCACAGCTCGTACCAACCCAGGGTGGAGTTTGGAGTTTGGGGGGGGGGGTGTCGGTGTCATCTTAGACCGATGGAAGCACAGCAACTGACAACACAGTGACAGTCTCCAGATCTGGCATCATAAGGACCTGGGTGATGCAGGTCCTGTTCCACCCTCCAGGTACCATGAAGCTCTATCTCCACCTCTCTTCCAAGCTTCCGAAGCTCTAACTGAAAGTATGGACAAGGGCGTAGTATTCGGGGACCATGTCCCTCACAATATTTAATTCATTCCACCAATAAACATATCATTGTATTTAAATTATTAAATTGTGCCCCCCCCTCCCCCCAACATCACACTCCTTGGGGCTGTATTGATCACCCTTTAACTCACTCAATTCAACTCAAATTCTTCCGCCTCTGGGTTTGACATTGCAGTATTTGGAGCGCTGCAGCTACATAAAAGATAATGATTAAAACGTTGAAGGGAAATCTAGACGCCAAAGTACAGCCCATCTGACATAAACCTTGTCGCTGCTTTTTCATTTTAATGATTAACTGGAAGAGATGAATGCATGACTGAGGACGCAACATCGCAGGATTCTCTCCAAACAGCTCTGATCACTTTATTGTTTGGAATAATTCTGCTAAGTGTGTCCACTCTGGGCAATGTTATGACTGGCCAGGTTCTCCCCGGCGCGCCTCACTGGATCCGATCGGCCGCCCGTGCGTACCGCCGAGCCAGGAAGCCCATCTTCGCGACGGCAGCCCGGGTGTCGTCATCGGTGACGCCCAGGTGCCAGACGGCCCGGATGGAGCCCCCAACATGCGGGAACATGAGCAGCCGCACGCCCTGGCCCAGCGCCCGGACCTCGTCGTCACACACACTGGCTGCATGCTCGCAGAACTCCGCCGGGCTCAGGCTCGGCGCACGCAGGTAGAAGCGCAGGATGTTGGTCTCCACGGCAGTCATGTCCACTTGGTAGAGGGGTGGGTCGCACTGCATCAGTGCTGGAAGGGGGGGGGGGGGGGGTTGAGCAAACGGCAAACGGTCCTCAGCTCCCTTAGCAAATCTACAGCCAGGAAGCAGACATAAATGATGGATTTATAAGATTTTTTATCCACCCTGTTATAAAAGGCAGCTCTGGTACTATTTAATTTCCTGTCAATGACTTTTGGTACCATAACTCATGGTCGCACACCGCCTTCAGGACTGGCGAATGAAGTCTGACGGGATGGTGTGTGTGGGATCCTCCCCCGGATGATGGAGGGGGGGGGGGCGCGTTACCTTCCGCAAAGCTCCTGGCTCGCTGGTGATCCTCCTGCAATCGGCCCACCATGTCCGTCAAGGCCAGCCTGCCCGCGGCGGCCAGGATGCCCGCCTGACGCATCCCCCCGCCCAGGGCCTTGCGGGCACGCACCGCCCTCTGCACAAAGTCCCCCGGGCCAGCCAGTATGGTGCCCACTGGTGCACCGAGGCCCTGTGCCACACGGACGGATAGGTCCAATCACACACAGCAGCAAAGAAAGAGTGATTAGGCGGCTACAGACTCAAAAATCTGTGCTGCCACACTGATCGCCGCGTTGGCAGATAAGCCAAACATGCAGGTGACAAAATGGCGATATACAGGCTGTCCCCAGGTTAAGAACGTCCGAGTTATGGACAACTCATACTTACAGACAGGCTGCCATAAAGCCTGCTACATTAAAAATTGACATAAAATATAACGGTCCATAATAAGGAACGTGCATACTATTCTGTGACACTCATGAAAACTTCATAAGTGTCACAGCTTCAGCTTCAGCAGTTTGGCGACTTGAGGTACAGTACAGTACTGTATGTAGTTACTTTTATTATTACTCTATAATTATTACTATTATGCACTGTAGTATTTTTCAAACTTACCTACATATTCAACTTAAAGAGAAACTTAGGGAATCGATCTCGTTCATAACTTGGACTGTCTGTACTCAATTTTGGGTGCGCGTGGCGTTTACAAATGAGATGGTCAGCCCACTCATAATAATTATGATGTTTTATTTTTCCAACTTGTCTATAAATTTAACTTAAAGACAGATCAGACAGATCTTGTTCATAACCTGGGGATCTGCCTGTATTCGTTTTTATTCCTTCAGCTCAGATGTAGATGCATGTCTGATGTAACTTCAGAGCGAGGTGTCTGAAAGGGGCCCAAAGCCCTCTGCCACCCACTCGCATCCACGGGGCTGAGATTAACAGCGACCTCCCAGCCATGCCATGATGCCCCAGAGCACCAAGCTTTCAGACGGCTGCCCTTACTGCGAAGCGACAAGGATGGATTTTAAATGTCGCCTTCGGACCTCCCTGTGGCCCACGAGCCACGAGCCACGAGCCACCATCCGCCAGCTAAGTGTTAAATCCAACCCCGCGTCCAAATGCATGCTGGGGGTGAACATCACCAGGGTGTGAAGGGTGTGCAGATGTGGGGAATATTGCTAATTATTAAGTGACGATGTGGGATTTGCAGTGTGCAATCACAACCCATGTGTCGTGCTAATGGAAGTGGACTGATAGGGAGAGAGAGAGAGAGAGAGAGAGAGAGAGAGAGGAGCTACCTTGGACAGGCAGACGCTGACGGTGTGACAGTGCCGCAGGATGACAGAAGGGGCCACACCCAGTGCCACCACAGCGTTCATCAGCCGGGCGCCGTCCATGTGCACTTTCAGATCATAGCGGTCCGCCAGTGAGCGCAGCTGTGGACACACACACATAAAGACACACACGGGTGCGGGATGGTCAGCACAATGTACACATACTTCAAGAGCTCCTGTTCGTAAACAGATTTCTGTGATCCATGCGTGATTCTAAACATAATGTTGTCCAACCGCCACTGGGGGCAGTACAGACACTGTACTGTTTGGGTTCCAGGCTGCATTCAGTTTATCTTAAGGGTCATCAGTTGGAGCTGCGAATGACGTCACACCTGAGTTAACCGCGTTCCAGCAACAAAAGTCGAAAGGCCATTCACCAATACCAATTCTAGCCAGGTTCAATGCATGATGCAGTATTTTGTGCATACAAACACTGCAGCAACATGCCCACAGATAGGTGAACAGTCTGCATGTACAACTAAATAAGACATAAGTGCTAATTAACTATATAACTACAGATTTCACTTCTGCTGACAAAGGGTGCAGACATCTTGAATTCTGAGGTTGGGGTTGTGTAGATTCCTCCGACTTTCTGTCGGAATTTCGACTTCAGGGGGCGTTCCAGATGAAATTTCTGACTAGGAATTTGGAAATTCCGACTTCAAATGGAACACAGTATCAGATCTGCAGGGGACACTGCCCTCACCTTCGTGGGATAAAATTCAATTAATTCAATTCAATTCTATTTATATAGCGCTTTTAACAACAGTCATTGTCACAAAGCACTTTACATTTAACCGGCCCGAACCCCCACCAAGCAAGCCTGAGGCGACAGTGGCAGGGAAAACTCCCTCTAGCAGGAAGAAACCTTGAGAGGAACCTAGACTCAGAAGGGGACCCCATCCTCCTCTGGGCGACCGGGGAGCATGAAACTGCATTTACATTGACATTAATTTCAGTCCATATAGTTAGAGTAGGAGTAGATGGTAATACCCACAATCCTCTAGCTAATCAACAAGATGATCTGTAGCCTTTCTCCTCTCTCACCGCAACCCAATGGTTGTTCTCTGTGCTTTAACACACAGGCTGCCTGTGTGGCTACACACAATTCTGTGTATTAAGGACACAGGTTCGATGCTAGACCAAAGGGGCCTCACCTCCCGGAGAAAGGAGAGAGGGAGCACACGCCCCCCCTGGATGTTCTGCGTGTTCTCCACACACACCAAGCGGGAGCGAGGGTAGTGCGCGTCTGGGTAGCCGTGCCGGATCTTGGCCTCCACCTCTGCCAAGTCGAAGGTGCCATCGGGCAGGTTGGCTACCATGGAGGAGGGAACGCCAGCCAGCTAAACAGACACAAACAGGCAGGTGGATGGATGGACGACCTGCATAGTGTCACAGTGGAGGCTCGCACACCATCCCAGTATGTAAAAAGCACAACTGAAATTCCAAATATCCAACTTCATGTAACTTCATTCTTGATTCCTTAAAGATTTTGTGGCAAAAATACATCATATTGTTTATATATTGCCACACCCTCCAAAATTTCTGCCCTAAATACTTGGCATTTTTCTTAAAAAAAAATTCTCATGTTGCGAGAAATTCCAGAGTTCCTGATTCAAGTACAGAGCAGATAAGGAAGTGAGAAAGATACAGCCCAAGGGCATAAACGATTTACTGACTGGTGGCATCATCACAAAAGTCACAATTCTGTATTTATACCAGACTCAACTTTTGCTTTCCTACCAGCACTATTCTGTCCGTACCTGTGCACTTCCACCCTGCTCATAGACGTGCATGTGTGACCGATCTCCCACAATCATCTCGTCTCCCCTTTCTTTGCAATGCACCATTACTGAAACAGACGAAGATGCGCTGTAGTCCGTCAGCTGATCAAAAGACTTTCGCACTAAAATTGACTTAATTTACGCTACCTGCAATAAGGTTACTCATGGTCCCTGAAGGCACGAACAGGGCAGCCTCCATGCCAAACATCTCTGCCGCTTGCTTTTGCAGTTCTGTTGGAAAACGCACATCAAGAGCGGCAGTGGCGTCCAGAGTGTGTAACAAGTTCAGTTGAGCAAACACTAAACTTACTGCTTAATCGAATATATTGGGCAGGATGTGAATGCAACGGTAAGTGTTTTTTTTTAATGCAAATGCCTGTGTGCATAATTTTGCACAATTTGTTACAGTATTTCTTACAGAATAAGATATATTCTGACAAGTACAGTGGTCATAACCCCAGCTAAAGAGATCATATTAACAACAGTAACTTTTCCCCAACCGTTTACAGACGGGTCCTCTCCAAACACATCGTCTCCAACTTCTGCTTCGGCCATGGCTTTGCGCATTGCTGCTCCGGGCTTGGTGATAGTATCACTTCGGAGGTCCACAGTCCGAACCGGAGTGGAGGCGCCCAGGCCATGGTCTGCAGGCTTACCATAGTAAAACCTGACAGAATGACCCATCCCAGCCACCGTAAACCCACGATTCCCAACATGCTTGGCACCATGTTTAATAAACTGCAACAGACTGAAAGCAGAAACAGTAAGGCTTTTCAAAGACATGGCGACTTCTGGAGACACAAGAAACAGGTGACGGTAAAGGATTGCATCTCCGTATTCCCGACCCCCGGTCACGCATCACGGCACGAGAGCTATTACTACTGTACATGGACTTTGGATCATTGCACTCGACAATCATCTAGTGTACTTCAATTGCTTCACAACGCAAGGCAGTTTTAATCGATATGGCATCGTCGATATCTCCTAACTTGTTTAAAGTTTTCAGCAAAATTACGTGTAATGAGATTTATATATGTCTTCCTGAGACCCCACCCATTCATTTATGTCTATTGTAGTGGACATGTTATTTTTACATCTATCTTTTCACTGATGTAAGGAAACATATTCATTCCTGTTGTACACTAAAGAGGACATGCTGTGAAATTAAAAATAAAAATAAATTTGAAAAAATCTAAATTGTAAGATGTCTTATTTCCTCCAAAGACAAATAACCTAAAATCGAAGGACACTTTTTTCCTTGGGTCTCAGGAGGATATATCAGGGTTGCCAACTCTAGCGCATCTGGCATGACCGTTTCAGACACTCACGCGCACACAAAAAATCTTACGGCAAATTATATTCCATTATAAACCTAAATTGGCGACATCAAAAGCGTTGTAATTGTTTGCAAACCCTACAGACTTTTTACAAGGTAATAAAGCTGATACATACATGTAAATGCCTGTGCATACTTCTCTCGAATAGAAAATCTCACGCCAGCCAGCCTACCGAAGTTGGCAGCTCTGATATATTTTTAGATATATATAGTACGGATTAATATTATGATTCTATATGTTATAAACGGTATTTGTGACTCACTAATGAATATATGATCCCTTTTTTTCGATCAGTGCCCGTTTTATGTACATGATCTACATTCTCGGTATTCACAGTGAAGTCGACATAAATATGACTTACGCTTCTTGGGAACGGAAGTGGAAACATTCCGTAGAAATAGGCTGATAGTGACAGTCCGAAATTCTTCTTTACCACTAGATGTCGCTTTAGTATAAAGAAATGATGCGGCGTGTCGCGAGTAGCTCGGTGAAAGGGTTCATTGTTTAAGACTGAAAATGATCCCCAGCTCTTGAAATTCATGCGGACTGCAAACGTCTGGGATTCCACCCACACGACATGTTTTTTGAAAAAAAGTAACTTGCTTATCTTTTTATTTGTTTTCGTCATCTTCTTTTACTTTCATCATTTGAATACCAGCATACATGCAAACAGTATACAACAACAGCTGAATGAAAGGTTTTGAGCAGCGTGCCCCCAACCCCCCGAAGCTTGGGGAATACTTTTCTTGAGGCGGTTATGGTCGTATGGCTAAGATTAATGCTGATCCATTGCTTGGGAAACGCAGGCGTGACACACGCAGCATCTTGTGGGCACATCTCGGACTCTTGGAAATTTGAGAAATATGTGAAGCAACACAGCGATTCTTAAATGACAAAATCCCAGTTGCTCAAGAATTTGGCTTTCCTCAGAACGCCAATTCACTTAATAGCACACAGGTTTCCTGCCAGGCAGTAGAAAAATTATGACTTCGCAAGGAAGATGGTCTCTTGGGAGCGGGATGATTGCCAGTATTCTTCTGCGTGCTTAGTAATGCTGTATAAGGTATTGCACTTTTTAAAACACTGCACCATAGGCAGTACATTCAACATAAACAGCAAAACAGCTGCAGTCCTTGAATGTAATTATAAAGTCAAAACTATTAAAGCTAAACCTCCAATTAGATAGTTAAAATGCTGTAGCCAGTGAGTCCAAACGTGCGTCTCTCCGAATTAAGCCACGCAGTATTGTCTTACATAAAAGTTCAGAGTAAAATAGTATTAATAACTGTCTCCTGCACTATAAACTAAAAAGTCTCCTATTGTAGATGTTTTTCACAGAATTGACCAAAAACGATCGACAGATCCTGAAGATAATAGGATATTCTGCACAGCAGAGAGCAATGGATGTTACCCTGATAACATAAAGCACATTAAGTGTGTAGCAGTGCCATTTCATGTCAATGCAGGACACAAACAATTCATCACCTGCCCCTCTAGTGACATTTCAGTGAGGTACAGATTTAATACAGTAGGACGGACTTGGTGCAGAGGGACAGACTGGTGTATAGACTTTAGGACAGAGGTCCCTCAGTCCTAGCAGGGTTCAACATGGCGCTCTGATTGGTTGGGGATGCCCAAGAGCATAATGCTGGTTTGAACATTGGAGGAGTTGAGGTCTCCATCCATATAGGGGGAGACGTGATTAAAACCTGCAGCCGGTTTTGATTACTGGGGGTTACAACCCCCACATCCGACCCGTAATTTACACTTATGGGGATGTCAATAAATAAAAGCCCCCCACCCCAAGCATCCAAAGTGCTCCACAGTCAACATGCATGAATAATGCTGATCACAGACACCAAATGGGCTGTTGCACATATGTAGAGATGCAACTCAGCTTGCATACCCATGTAAACTCAGCACTTCAACAAATGGCACATAGTGTAAGCAATGCAATGGTTATGGGTTCAAATCACAGGGAGCATGCATGAGTTGTGACCCTTCCCTCTACTGTAAGTCGCTTTAGATAAGAGCATCAGCTATGTACCTGTGCTGAGGTCAGTCACCTTGGCTATGAAGTTCAATGCTTTGGTGTCTTGTTAGCAGGTCACTGACAGGTGAGGCTGATCAAGGGACAGAGTTCCATGGCCTGAGGCTTACGCAACCTCAAAAGTCCATTTCTTGGAACTTTGCTCTTTTTACAGCCTTTCACTGCAGTTAGCCCTTCCGTCCACTAGGCTGACACAAGCTGAACGCCACGGTGGGCATGGCTAGGGCCCTTGATCGACAGAGCTGGTGTCCTGAGGATGTTTTCGATGCACAGAGGAGGAGTCAGAGGCAGTACGTTCGTCTGTGGCGTGCCTGATCTAAATTACCCACACCAGACATGCAAGTCAGTGCACAGCATGGACACGTTCCTCAACCCGGGGGGATGTTATGCAGACATATAGCAACAATTACAACAATGATATCACCGTGTCTCACCACTGAAACCATGCATGGACTCCAAGGGCAGACATACTCCTACGTCATGTACCTAAATACCATGTATGTGACATCAGTCTTAGGAAAGGCAAGATGGCAATTATCCATCTGAGGGGTGCCCCCCCCCCCCGGTACACTCCCTCCTGCCCATTTGACAATTGTCACCATCCCCAACCCTCAGATTTTGCCCAGGTACGCTAGAACCTCCTCTGTGTATCCTATGTATTGCAGATGGGTCTTGTGTCCTGCTATCACAACTGTTTAACTATTTAAGGCCAAAATTCCTTTTCCCCATCGACCTTCTTTGAGGAGCTGAGCTCCATATTGCATGTGTGACTCCTAAGAGACCTTTCACTGCAATTTCCAACTCTTCCGGAGCGCACTGCTATCCAAAGAAGGACAATGCGGTCCAGCGTTTGTGAAGGTCATCTCAAACGGGCCCATTGTGTCTCTACTCAATCCTGCACAAGTTTCTCCATTGTCTCGAAAAGTGTTTTCACGTTTTTTGGAGCGGCTGAATGACAGGAAAGATAGCCATCTGGCTTTCGTGTGGGAGACACAGGACGTCCATACTTAGAGACAAAATGTATCCTTTGTGTCTCTTAACCCCAGAGGACAAGGGAAACGTTTTGGAAGCCCATGCTAAACAAGTCCAGTTCTCGTGGGATCTTTGGCTGGCATGTAAACACTGCAGCTGTGAGTGACTCGAGGGCAGTGACCTCGTCACACTGGCAGCATAATCGCTGGACAGTATGATTAGGGGGGGGGGGCGGAGCCTCAGGTAGAAGATGGCTGTCTCTCACTGCACCCTCGGGCCTTCTTGGACCAAGGGTGCAGTGAGCCCAGACGCTGGCATACCTTCAGAGGGCTTGTTCACCGCGTGAGCCTCACCGGGGCTGGCATTCGGCACGCATGAGCTCACGCCCGTGGTCCCTGCCAGCTCTCCCCCCACTAGGGTGTCACTCACACCCCATGGTTGGTGGGGGGAGGGGGGGGGCGGGCAGGAGAATTTATGTTGGCACCCTAGACAGGACTCAAGCCAAGCGTTACGGTAAGCATTTGTCGGTACCTTAATGCATCACACCCAGCAGCCACTGTAATATTGTTACACACACACACAGAGCAGACATCCAGGTCAGCACTGGTCCCTGCCCTCGACTACAAAGGCGGGTTACAGAAAGCAATCTCACAAATTCGTTATCATACACGTTATCAGGCCTAAGTGTTGAATCAGGGTGTTAATCGGTACCGTGCGGGAACTGTTTGTGTTTGCTTGTGAAGTGGGAGGGGCTGTTCTGTTGGGGGGGGGGGGCATTAGTCAGGCAAAAGTCAGGAACATGGAGAAGCTGAGGATGTGATGAGCTGGCCCTGGAACGGTGTCATGAGAAATGAGCGTCGGAGGCGCCTGCGGGTGATGACACTGGGATGGCAGCATGAAAGCAGAGGGAAAGAAAAACGCGTTACTCAGCATTACTAAGGCTGAGGAGGAGCAGCCACGACCTCAGGCGCTGGGGAGATGAACCGCTACAATCCTCAGTCCCTTGGGATCAGCCATGGGGAGTGTGTTGGGCGTGAATCGGCTCATTTACCCCCAGCGGTGGCCGGGGGGAGCTCAGCGTGCGGCGGATCGACCTCAGCGGGAGGTACAGCGGCCTGCAAAAAAAAGAAAGAAAATAAGTGACCACAGGCATTGAGTCATAAAATAATACGAGGGACCCATATAAGGGGGGGGGCGGGGGGCGCTGGCGAGACGGCCGCCAGACTGTCCACAGCGACTGACTGATCTGGCGAGTCTGCACTAAAACCCGAGATGAGGTCATGGCCGATAATGCGAGGTCGTGTGCCGTGATTTGGAGCGCTTGCCGTTCGCCAGTTAATGGGGGGGGGGGGGGGGGGGGGGGGGGGCGCTGGAGCCTGTCCCAGACAGCGCTGGGTCTAAGGCCAGGGGTGCACCCTAGACGGGATGCCAGGCCCTCATACGTATTAGGCAACATCGCTTCCAACCGTGCCGCCGTGTCACCACTCCTCAATTGCCCTCCTAAAAAATCCAATTTTACAAATAATAATAGAATGTGCTGAAAGCATTAGTGTACTTTGCGCAAGTGTACAAAGTCACACATATTATTCACCTAACCCTCCTCCCCCCCCCACCCCACCATGGACACACACGCATAAAAATTCAGAAAGAGGTTATGCACACTACACCAGGAATGCAGCAAACAGGGAGAGTTCGGGGGGTGGTATGACAAATAGTATATAGGTTTTTAAAAAGTAAATAAAACGGTTGTGTTGACTGGGCTGAGGGGGACAGCCAAGGTCCCCATTGGAGAATCAGCCTCATTGGTCGGCCCCCCTTCCAGGGGCCTGTTTTATCTCCCTTTAATTGTGTCCCTTCCCATGTAACGGTAAGAGGCGTGGCCATGTTAGCGATAAGCGCGGCGCTAACGCTGCCCAGTTACAGGACTGTCTCCTTTGGGGGGGGGGCTCCTCAGCAGCAGAGATAAATAAAATTAAACATGGAGTTAATGTGCCGCGGTCTGAAAGAGCACTGTCTGGCATGACGCAGCCTTGGGAAGATTCACCTGAAGACAGAGATTACGGTGAAAAGCCCCATTTGCATTGAGGTCAATGTGCACGACCTCTGTAGGCTGCGTAACCTCCAGTTCACACCGCCTGGTCTGAAGCTTGGTGCTAAAACGAAACTGCTATCAGCCCTGCGGTCTCTGCGCTACCTGCTAGCCTGCAGTAATGCAGCTGTTCTCAGCGGTTGTTTTAGTCAAAGCACCATTCACACAAACCCAACTTGTAGCCAGAAATTAATTTCAGGGGGTGTCCAGCAACCCTACTGATAGNCCCCCCCCATCCCGGACTCTTTTGAACGGGGATGATTTAGAAGCT